GCGAAGACGGTGAGCATCTCGGAGGCCTCTTGGTCCAACCTGTGGCCCTGTGTGCTGAGGCGGGGAGTGTGCCTTGTCGGGCCAGCCAAGGATGGCAGGCTTGGAACGGGCCTCTCAAGGGCGGCTTTTTCCTCTCTGCGTACAGCACAGTCCTTTCACCCTGTGGTTTTGCGGAGATGAGGATGTTTAAGAAACACCTCTGCAGCAGGATCCGCGGTGTTCGGGACTTTGGCAGTAGAAGGCAAGTGGTTTGACAGTGACAAAGGTGAAGCCCAGGCCATGTCCCTTGAGGCTGCTCTTTGGAAGCAAACACTAGCGTTGCACACGTGAGTGCCCTTTCCTCAAGACCTGCTCCAGAAGGCTGGACTCTTGCTTCCAAGGAGCTGCCTTCTCAAATCAGCTTCTAGACCCTTAGTGAGAAGCACCTTTCTAAATTTTTTTTTTTTTTTTTTGGTACTGGGGATTGAACTCAGAACATTACACTTGCGAAGAAGGCAATGGAACCACTGAGCTAAATCCTCGGCCCTTTAAAAAAATTAAAAAAAATTTTTTTTTCTTGTATTTTTGGAAAAGCACCTTTCAATCTGCTCAGTAGTGGCCAAGTCCTGGGCTTAGGAGGCTACTTTGAGTTGTAAAGAATCCAAGTCACTTAGCGTCCCGTCTGGTGAGTGGAAGAGGTTGTCCAGCTGAGGAGTGATTACAGTGGTGACAATAATTATAGCTCATTTTAGAGAGCTTGCTAAGGGCTCGTGAGCTGCCTCAGGATGAGGAACGGTACTGAAGAAGGAATCAGAACAGATTTCATAGAGGGAGAAGAGTTTTAGCAAGGTACTTGGCTGCTCAGGGAGCCATTAGGTGTGCTCATGTTGCTTTGATGTGTTCATCTTCCCACAAAATTCTAAATAATGCTCCAATAAAAAATGGAATTTTCCATGTCAGTTTACTTGTCTGGAACACAGTGCTGATAAGGCAAAGAAGAGCAAGTGCTGAGGAGATGACTCCAACCCAGTTCCACAGAAAGGGTGGTAGCCATGGTTTTGAGCCTTCATTTTGCCCTAAGACCACCAAATGAGTCAGGCTCTCTGAGAATGAATTTCCTATCTTCTCAGAGCCCCTTTCTAATCTCTTGAGTTTGTCTTCACTTCTCACCAGCTCACTCCTCAATTCCATGACTTTTTACCCTTTATACCCTCCCCAGATTGGCTCATAATGCTACCTCAGTTATTATTGGTTGCTTCCTACTTCCCACATTTCGTGTCCTAAAAAGGACATGAAGTCTTCATCTTCTTCATTAACTTCCTGTATCTTTTCCAAGTTTCTTTCCTGAACTTTCATCTTCTGATAGCTGACATCCAGGACTTTATTTGATTCCTATTTTACATTTTAGATGTTGTCTTCTCCAAGTTCCTTGGCTTCTCCTTTCCTTTCCTCTTTCTCTCGTCTTCTGCTTTTCCTCCTCTTCCTCCTTTCTCTCCTTTCTTCTTTCCTCCTCTTCCTCTTCTCTCTCCTTCATTCTGTCTGTGTTTCTCTCATTGCCTCTATACAGATTACTTGTGCCTATTTTTATTTGGATTCTCTCACCACTTCCAGCCCAGTTTCCCATATCCAATTGCTGAATGGATACCTCCACTTAGATCTTTACCAGAGCCTCAAAAATCTATATGTGCACTTTGATCCCTATTCACGCTCTCTCCTCTCTCTCTAATTCCTCTTCCTGTTGACCTGCTGACCACCTTCCCTGACTTTGCTCTTGCTATTCCCCTTGTTTTAAAGTCCCACCTGTGTTCCTCCCCAATCTCACCAATGCTCCCCACAAGACCAAATCACTGATCTGCAGATTCTTCCTTAGTGCCCTCTCCTTGGAAGTCCCATCAGACTCAGTTTCTTTCTTGCTCCTCTACACCCATGGCTGTGATTCTCAAGATGATGAGTCCTGGAGATGTGTCTGAATCACACTTTATGACCCAGTGCCCCATGCTAGCTGCCTTTCGCATTCTATGCAGCTGATTGATTTAGTGACTTAATTAAAAAAATATCCAGCCTCCTGGTCCCACAGCAGTTACTGGTAAATTTCTATGTGTCTTAATGGGCAAGTGGATTAATTTATCTGCAACTCAGTTTCTTTTTATGCAAAATGGAGATGATAATACCTGTCTTACAGAGTTTTTGTGAAGATTAAATAGGCAGCTGTTTGTTTTCTAAGCTGGAAAGCTCTTGAGAGCTAATGATTGCACTAGGTGTGGTAGCCCATGCCTGTAATCCCACAACTCTGGGTGCTGAAATAGGAGGACTGCAAGTTTGAGCTTGATTTAGTGGTTTAGCAAGACCCTGTCTAAAAAATAATAAATAAATAAACTGGGAAGGTAGCTCAGTGCAAAGACCCTAGGCTCAATCCCTAGTAACAGAAAACAAAACAAAACCCCCCTTAAACAACAACAAAACACACAAAAAAACTCAGCAACAACAACAAAACAAAATCTACACAAACCCAGAACAACAACAAAAAAACCTAAAGTTTACTCTGGGGGACAGGTTCTAGGTTGTTGGAAAGTCACTAGATGTTTACTTTTGTTTTGTTTTTCATTTGAGAATCTGAGATTTTTTTTCTGTGTTGTCTCAAAGCAAACATCATTAGGGTTTTGTTGTTGGGTGTGTTCAAAATATTATCTTTCTTTTTTGACATTCAGAAGATATTTATTGAGCACCTGCTATATGTCAGATGATGTGATGGAAGCAGAGTGGTGCCAAGATGAATTTGACTTCTTTTCTACCCTTGAGGGGCTCTATCTTAAATGTAGCCAAGCACACAGATTTGCAAAAGTAATTATGAGATAACATGGCAGCTATAGTAGAGACATGCACAGAGGGTAATGGGAACAAAGAGCAGTAAGCAGTTAGCTTCTGTGTGTGCTTCTAAATGCCAATGGAAAATACTGAATATTTGTTCATAGCTGCCAGGGACAATAGAAATGTCAGGTATCCTCATCTCTCATGTACAGAGGGGCACAAGTGGGGTCGGTGACTTGTCTGAGGTCACATTATGAGTTAGATTTGGCAGCAGTGCATCTAGAACTTGGATGTCCTTACACCAAGCCTGTTTCCAGTACCCCTGGGACGCTATGAACTAGGAATGGAGTTAGATTGAGTCTTTGAAGTCGTTAATCCCAGCTAGCCTGTGACAATTTACCAGCTTTGTAACAAGGGACTTGTGACTAAACTGTTTCTTTGAAGAGGATAACCAAAGACCAGTTTTCAAGAGGTTTGATTTCTGCCTATGAAAACCAAGTGCCCTCTAATCTTGTTGGCTACCTTACCAGTCTTCCTTAGAAGACAGGAAATGTGACATCACTCTGAGGATTCCTGATAATATGGACCTTTGATCCACTGGGTCAGATTTTGTGGCCTTTCCCTCTGATTTTACAAGGGACAGAGGGGGAGTTTAAATTGGCCTACATTCCTCTAAAGCACAGTTGTCTTACAAAAAGAGGAGGAAAAGGAAAAAGGACTATGCTTGAAAATACAGGTTTTTCCATTCATCCTACTCCCTTGGAATTACCTTTCATTTGGTCATTAACTTTTGCGACCCTCTTACAAAGCTTTATTTTCTTTCCCATTGCACCTAATCCAAAATTTAGAAAATGAGGAAGATAATAATAATTCAGCAGTATTTCTGATTATTATTATCACTTTTTTCTTGGTAGACAATACATTTTTACAACACATTTGTAAGTTGTATTGATTTATTTATATTTCTGTCTTGTTTCACAAAACGTCTGAGGTGGCTTACAAGGCAAACAGTAAAATGGCCTAATATAAATAATAAATTAAAAAACAAGAACCAGGAAAATCACAAATTAAAATAGAATGTCAAAACACGGAGGGAAAAAAATAGTATACAATATTCAAACCAGAAGGCCCTTGTGTTTCTGCAGTTGAGCTGAAAATTTAATCCTGATCTGAAGAGAAAGAGGACTAAGGCAGGATCTAGGTTTTCTTGCCTTCAGCAGCATCTTTTTTTAAAAAATTGAAATATTTCCAAAATATATCACCTGAGTTCCTGCTTTCTGATGCATCTATATGTATTCCCTGTGTAATTCATGTATAAAGTTTTCTGGATGATGCAGGATCACCGTTAAGAACATAATTTTGGATTCTGGGCTGGGGATTTAGCTCAGCAGTTCGGTGGCCTGCCTTGCAAGCACAAGGACCCAAGCTCAATCCCCAGTACCAAA